ACGCAGGACATGCTCTTCGAGAACACCACGTTCGAAGACTACGACGCCGTCATGCGGTCCAAGGTCTCGGGCGGCTGGAACATCCACAAGTCGCTCCTCGACACCAAGCTCGATTTCTTCATCGCTCTGTCCTCCGTCGCCGGCGTCGTCGGCAACAAGGGCCAGGCCGCCTACGCGGCGGCCAACACGTTCCTCGAGGGCCTTGTGCAGCACCGACGCCAGCAGGGCCTCGCCGGCACGGCCATCGCGCTGCCGGCCATGGACAACGTCGGCTACCTCGCCGAGAACGAGGAGCGCCGCGAGCTCCGCCAGAGTCAGCGCAGAGAACAGCACGGCCAACGAGGCCCAGCGCAAGGACGTAGAAAGCCTTGCTGGCCTGTCCGAGCCAAGAGACTTGAGAATCTGCTTGACAGGTCCTCACGGGCAGCACATGGGACGACAGCGCCCGGCCGCCGTACCCCGCTGCCGATGCCAGGTTCGCCGACCTGCTGGCGGCGCTGGCACGAGCAGCCATGGTTCCGGCCAGGCGGCGTCCATCCACCAGGTCGTGTCTCGAGCTGGCTGTGAGGACCAGGCCTCGGAGGCCATTGTCAAGGGCCTTATTGAGAAGCTCTCGGCGATTCTCATGGTTCAGCCCGGCGACCTGGACCCGGCGTCTACGCTGACAGCTTATGGTCTCGACTCGTTGAACGCCATTGAGCTGCGCAACTGGATCAGTAAGGAGCTTCTTGCTCATTTGCAGGTGCTGGAGCTTCTGACAAGCGCCACGTTGACGAGCTTGTCCTTGATGATTCTGAACAAGTCTCGTATCGAATTGAGCTACAAGGTTGCTGCTGCATAAACAAGGGAAGGGTATATCAAGGCGTACAAGGAGTTTGGGATTTGCTTTTTTGTTGGACCGAAGCAGTCGAGGTCACTGGCGTGACAGGAACTAATAGGTAATCCGAAAGCCAGTCTCTGCAGAAACATTATTATGGAACAGCATCATTATCAAAAAGCATAAATCTAGACAGTTAATTCATTAATCAATGAGACGAGCCGGGTGCCCTTTGCTGATTGATATACATGTCCCCGACCAGCTGGTCATACCCCTGAGTCGTCTCTCAAATCTCAGACCTGAAGCTCCAGACCTAAAGCTCCATAATAAAAATCCCATCCGCCGAAAGTGGATCGCGCAAAAATCACCATCCCAGCGCAACCCGCGCCACGCAATCTCACGATGATCAATCAAAGTCAAATCCTACATGCTACACTCGCAGCAAAAAGGGAATGTTGATGAGGACGAGACTCGAACTCGCGCGGGTTGCCCCACCAGGAAATCTGTTAAGGAGACCTTAACCTGGCGCCATAACCAACTCGGCCACCTCACCGGTGATTGATGAGAAGTCGAGCGAAGGGTGGGTTCATGGCGGATGTTGCGGGGCGCGCGAGGGCTCCCTCTCGCATCCCACGGCCACTATCCAGGCCTGGCCTTCTGAATAGAGGTTGGTCCCTGACCAGGAACGCGAATCCTGGCCGAGCGTCTGGCTGGCGCCGCATTCTGCTCATGGCTGTCTTTGTGGGTGGTGTTGCTTTCCAGTGTCATGCGTCTCGGTGCTTCATGGTATGTTCTGTTACTCCAAGCCCCTCGGTGAACATCGTTCGTCAACGTTACTGATCATAATCGTGTTTCCAAGTCAAGAGTCGCTTATTGGCGCCCGTGTTTCGTCGCATTTGCTCCGCCTGGTGGAATAATCATCCATCCTGCCATTGCTCCTACGCCTTCCTCCTCTCAGCATTCGTCTCTTCCTCATTCATGATTCCCTCCTCGCCGCCGGAACGCGCCGTTGGCGGCTCCGCCCTGCCCACAACTTCCGAGCTTCGGAAGACAAACAACACGATGAGCAGCGACGCAACACCGTACCCAAAATTCATCCAGTTGGCGGCCCGCAGGCCTTTGAGCGAGGGTCCATCCCAGGGCTTCGTCTCGCCGACGTCCATGACCGGCACGCCGCGCGCCTTGGCCATGACGGCCGTCTGCACGGCCGTGCTGATCGCCAGACCAATGGCGCGGCCCATCTGGCCGACCGAGTTGATGAGCGCGCCGCCGAGGGCTTGGTCTTCCTGCGGCAAGGACTTGGAGGTGAACAGCGTCAGGGACGGCCACGCCGTGTCAGCACCGAATACGGACAGAATCATGGCGGGCAGCCCAAAGGCAAAGTACGTCGTGTTCGAGGGGATCGGAATGGCGAACAGCACACAGGCCAATGCCATGGAAACGTTGCCGAATACGAGCAGGAGATAGGTTGGCACGCGGGACAGCAGCAGCGCGACGACGAATGCCGTGACGATGCCCACAACACCCGTGGGGATGAAACGGATGGTGGTCTGAAGTGCCGAAAGGCCCTGATAGTCCTGGAAGAAGTAGGTCGCAAAGACGAGGAAGTTGTTGAACGAGGCAAAGAACAGGCCCATGATGACCATGGCGGCGCTGAAACGCTTGTTTTTGAAAATCGAGACCTTCATGAGCGGAGGTCTTTCGCCCTTCTTTTCTAGGTAGCGCTGCCAGAAGACAAAAACGGCGATGATGATCAGGGATACGACAATGATGACGGGGATCCAGGGCCTATCCCAACCGACAACGTTGCCCTCGGTCAGGGCATAGAGCAGGGCCAGCATGCCGATGGTGATGAGAGCGCCTCCGATCCAATCAACCGACTGCTTGGTCTTGCTCGGTTGGCCTTCGAGCGACGGTGGGGGCGGCGGGGGTGGAGGGATGACGAAAAAGCCTGCGGCGGCCACCATGCCCGCGAGTATAGCCTTGACGCCGAAGATCCACTTCCAGTCAGCATATTGGGCTATGAAACCCGCGATGAGGTTGCCAAAGACGCTACCCAAGGGTGCACCGGCGGCGTAGGCGCTGAAGGCGTAGTTCTTCGCCTTGCCAGGCGGAAACGTGGTGCCGAGGATGCCGATAGCTGTGGGAACATTGGCGGCGGCGCCGAGGCCATGCAGACCACGGAACAAGTTGAAGGCAATCTCGTTGGGGACAAAGGCGTTGGCAAGTGTCATGACAGCAGCCCAGGCAGAGCCAGCCACGAAGATCAGGCGTTTGCCGTAGATATCGGCGATGCGGCCCCAGAGCAGCAGGAAGCAGCCGAAGGCGAGAGAGTAGGCCGAGACGATCCACTGCAGACGCTGCTCGGGGATGTCGAGGTCAGAGCCAATAGCAGGCAAGATGATGACGACGGCTTGCAGTGACATGGTCTGAAAGAGTCAGTCACTGTCCTCACAATGGCCAAACGGGGTGACAGACGTTCATGAAACTGGCGCCCGCGAGGGTGGCCACGAGCACAATTGCTCTCGCCTTGGAGAACGGCAGCGCAGGAGGGCCATTGCTCTCGATCGGTCCGTCTTCCACTGGTGGACAGGGCTCGGCGTCCGAAGATGTCGACAGCTTCTTCCCACGCGGTGAAGCGGTGGTGTTGGTGTGTCCGGGTTCACTCGTATTCGTCTCAATCTCACCGGCCACAGTCTTCTCGCCAGAGAGGTTCATGGTCACGCCTTGGCTGGACTTGAGCTGCAACAAGGTCTTCACTCACGTTCCAGGCAGCGACGAGACCAGCCTTATGAGTTGACCAGCTCGCGTCTCGGCCTGAACGCGATGCTGCCGGTTGTCGTCTGGAGTAGGACATGTGGGGGGATTGCGAGATGGCCGGAACCCGCCCCCAGGGCTGTCGCTAAACCCATCACGGTCTAGAAGCCTCTGGGGACACCATAGTGGGCCACTCGGATCAACAGGTTGGTAAGCGATGTCGGTCCTGGACGGCAGATCTTTCGGCATGGCGAGGTAAGTCAGCGTAAGTCGGTCAGGGTAAGTCTGTAGCAGATGCTGTGCATGGTGGCAGAATGCACGCCCAATGCCCGAGACTTGGTCCGGGTGACACACAGAATGATCCGGCGGTGGATGGAAAGGATGGATCGCTGTGCATCTTTAGCCAGGGTGGCGAATGAGATCTTGGTGCTTGGTGTCCACCGACGCAACCTTCCCCACGTGACAAAGAGGCGCTGCTGACAGCTCCACCTTGCGACAGCCTTATCTTTTATCGTCATCTTGAGCGTCGCCCAGCCTTGCCTCAACCTGTTGGAAAGGCCCTCGCTTTACATCTCATCTGCCTGATATATAGAGATCGCATTTCGCCGATACCAGCTGCGCAACTCAGTATGATCTCACTTACATTTATCATCCTCGCGGTCGTGCTGTTCGCAGCTTACAGAGTATGTCCTGTCCACCACACTCATCATTATCCACCTTTTGGTGTGCGCTATGAACCGCCCTGGTCAAGATGTACATCCTCGTGACTCAAATCAACTAACACGCCCCCAAAGGCTGTCTTCGCCGACCGCTCTCCCATTCCCGAGACGTCCGGAAAAGTCTTCAAGGTCGCCAGCGCCGCCGAGTTTGACGCCCTCCTGTCCTCGACATCCAACGTTGTCGTCGACTTCTACGCCGACTGGTGTCCCCCTTGCCGCGCCATCGCCCCAGTCTTCTCGGAGCTGGCCGACAATCATGCATTGGAGGGCAAGCTTGCTTTCGCCAAGGTCAATGTCGACCATGTTCAGAACATTGCGAGTCGCTATGACGTCTCCGCCATGCCGACCTTTGTGATCTTCCGGAACGGCAAACCTGCCGGTGTCGCGGTGGAAGGCCTAAAGGGCCGCCCCTCTGTCGTTCTCTCTGGTGATGGACTCGTCGAGAGGGTGCGTGGTGCCGACAAGGCGGCCCTCCAGTCCGCTGTTCAGGCTTTGGCCGGCTCAAAGTAGGCTGTCTTTCCGTGTCAGGCAGAGGGAGGCACTAGAGAGAAGAGACAGCGATACGATAGTCGGCAAAAGGTCATTTGGTCGTGTATGAACCTCATTGCGGTGGAAAGCGAAGGCTCGTTCAAGGCTTTCATCATCGGTCTGTAGTCAACACGCGCCGACAGCGTACCGCGCAAAATCCGGGTTGGAGCGCCGAGAAGACCCATCTTGAACCTGGCACGCCGATACTACCTGATCTTGTATATCCGAGCCGTCTCGTGCAAGGGCGATCCTTCAGGACCATCCGGCGGGGTTTCTCGCTGTTTTCGAGTCCACCAATGACCCCCATGTACGTCTTGCGGTTACATCGGCATGCTGGTCTTGGCAGTGGGGGAGTGCTCTTGAACTTGGGAGAGAAAAGACTTGATGTGATGCTCAACGACAAGCGGATGGCCAGAGACAGGGGAACATGCATAATGTCCAGGCTACTCATCCGTATCGATGCTTAGATCATCTTCTCTTCTACCCCGCAGACTAGACGTAAGGAGCTCCAAACTGGTCTCTCTAGAGCTCACGGAGTATTTGCTGCATCTCTCCCAACGTAGAGTAGATCAGCAATGCATTAGAGTCCTCCGCATCTAAAGTGTGAACTCGGTATAAAGTACCAAGCTGGTGCACCAAGATGTCTCGCAAGGAGGTATTGAAGTTACTGCCAGACGCACGAAGTTGTGTTTCGTGTTAATTTCATCATGCATCTTTCAAAAGTTGCTGTAACACTCCTTGCCTTCTTCAGCAATGCATCTCTTGCCATAGAGCTACCAGCTGGTGTGCCTCGATCTCTCGAGGAATTCCGAGAAAAGCATCCCTATCGAGCGCGGAGTACCAAAGGCGATTGTCGCAAAGTGACCAGGATACGCCCATCTAAGCACGATACTGACGACATTTCGGATGATTTTCTGGAGGGAATCAAACAGGCCAACAATGGCGGACTGCTTCACCTGCCCAAAGACGAGCTCTTCGTCATCGGCAAGCCACTGGACCTGACCTTCCTCAACGACATTCACGTCCGTCTGGACGGCAAGATCTTGGTGGGCTCTCCTGGTCTTTTGGTTTACCAGATGTTAGACTAAGCACATGTCAAGTTCACCGACGACGTTCCTCAATGGCAAGCTACGGCTTTCAAGCACCCCTTCCAGACAAATCTCATGTTTTGTGAGTACGATTCAAGGCATGAGACGGTCATCTACATTAACCACAGGTAGGGAAATGGGGCGGAAAGAACTTCAAAATCTACGGCGACGGCGTCATCGACGGCAACGGCGAGCGTTGGTGGCGTGAATTTGGCGAGCTTGACCTCCCCGCGGACAACAATTACACCTATGCCCGGCCCATTCTCTTCTATGTAGGAGACGCCGCCAATGTGCAGATTGAAGGGATCCAGTTCAAAGATGGTCCGATCTGGCACCAGCTCATCGAACGCAGTATTTCCACCAAACACTACTCGTGAGCGAGAGGATTGTCACTGACGTGGTTGGCGCAGCCGAGGGCATCTCCTACCGCGATGTCTCCTGCACTGCTCGCCCACGAGACCAGACTGTTCGGCCTGCGAACACAGACTTTTTCAACTCCCTGAACGTCAGGGACGTCTCGATTGAGCGCGTCTGGGTCGACGTCGGCGACGACTGTTTCTCGCCAAAATCAAACGGTACCAACATTCACGTCAACCACATGTACTGTAATGGCACACACGGCCAGGTACGTATTCGTCTTCCTTTTGGTGGACCTCACGTCACTCACGATACCAGTCCCTCGGTTCTCTGGGAGAACACAAGGGTGTCATGTCCTACGTCGAAGATGTCGTAATCGAGAATGTCTGGATGCTCAACGGCGGCGTGCGTCAGCCCCTTTTCCAACCACAAAAAAAGACCGCCTCCCGTTGACACCTCCCACAGCACGGCAGCCGCATCAAGGTCTGGGCCGGACCGACCGCCGGCCACGGCTACGTCAACAACGTCA